AACTAACAGATGACCTACTGAATCGCAGTTCACACACACACACAAACATACATACATAAACATACATGAAAGAAGTTTAATATCTTGTTTAACTTTGTTTGACCATTTTTGTGTTAGCCTGTTGGAATGATGTAAAAAATGTCACTGTTTTAATATGTTATATTACTGACAGACGCTGCATGACTGACCTTGGTGAGTGACAACATGCCACCCTTCCTCCATCGTGTTTCCAGCCTTGACATCTTCGGGGGTCTCCTCCTCTCTTCCAAAAAGCATACGTGCGATTGTTCTGAACATGTCTGTTGTAGTCGCTCTTCTTTGTTCTGCACGGTGCTCGGGTGTTACAATGCTCTTCAGCTGCTGTGGGCAAGAGAAAAATTCAAAAAGAATAAAATATCATTACTTCCTGATTTAATTCAACACAGCCCTTGATCCCCCCCTTACTGTTTGGGAGTGGGTGATGCCATGAGATCCCATATTACTTTTAACATATTCAAGCAGTCTCAGGTCAGCTGACTGGGATGCCCAATGAAATTTTTAGTAGTTTGCTGGTTTGAATAAGAATGCCCACTCCCCAAGAATTGCATTGTTAGTGACCATCTGTTTCTAGATACATGGGGGAGGGGCTCTTTTCATCAAATATCTGACCAGTGGGAAGCTACGGCACTTAATTCATAAAGATTTATCTCTTATTTTTGTATAAATGCATGAAAATTAAAAACTACAGATATTATATCATTGAATCATATTTTCATCTATTCTCACTGCCTGAATTCATTATCAGATGCATTTGTGGTATATTGTTGCATGTCTTTTGCTCACTCGGCGTCCTCATTTACAATAACAGAAGATTATATCGTATCAAATCAAATCAAAAGACCTTAGACGGCCAGCAGTGCCTATCAGTCCAACGCAATAACAAGCGAACGAAATTTAGCTTTATGACAACAATTCAAATGTAGGTTATCTATTTCCCGTCAACGTTAGCAGCCTGTGAGAGCAGCTCTGCAGCGACCTTACCTGCGCTTTCTCAGTTTGACTCGAAGATCATTATGGAGTTTCAGCTGGGTTCATATATTCAAAATAAGCCGATAAATGCTACAACGCACCTCAATGCGACTGTTGTTTTGGATTTCAAATATTCAACCGATAGCTCAATAACAGACCCGCCCATGTCCCCGCCCACCAGGAGCACATCACCAATCAGAGGTCAGGAGGGAGCTTGTCGTTTTGATTTGAGTTTAGTCAAAGATGAAACTTTTTTGTTAAGATAATTCCCCTCATTTAAAAAAAAATA